CCCCCTGCCCACCCAGAGGGACCCTGGTGTCCGGGTGCCAAGGGCGTCACCTCCTCCACCCCTCGGCTGCACCAGGACTGACTTTCAAAAGAAAAGATGGTAACCTCGACTTTTCCTTGGGGGCTAAAGCCATGTCACTTTGGAGCCCCTCAGTAGCACCTTCCCGTTCTCCAGCCCTGACAGGGGCAGGCTGGGGTCCCCTCCTGCCCCTGGCCATCTCACACCCCCCGGCTCCTCTCCTCCAGCGTGTGGAGCAGATGGGACAGGGTCAGCCCACAAAAGGGGTCCTAGGGTGTGGATGGATGGGGATGATGGGAGGATGGTGCTCAGGGGTGTGGGTTCAGGATGAGTGGTGGCATTGGTATCCTCAGTGCATGAGTTGGTGACTTTCATGGAGGGTTGCCCCCCCCCAAGTTTGCTGGCCCGTGCCCCTGCCATGGCTTGGGCTGTCCCCATGCCATGGGATGTCCCCATTAATGCACTGACAGTGATGGTGCCCCCCAGCTCCCCTTCCCTCCACCCTCCTCCTGAGCAGCACGTGGGCTTCAGGGCCTGGCCCTTGAGGTTGCTTTTCCCCAGGAGATGGAGCAGGGTGGCAGGGGTGGCAGGGCACCTGGTACCACCCCCAGCATGGTCACCAGCCCCTGGGACATTGCTAACTTACCCTCACTGTCTTCCGCCCTGCTGTGAGCTCAGGGCTCAGGGCTGTGCCCTCTCTCTGGAACAAGTGCCAAAAGTGTCACCCCCGTCCCACCCGTCCTGCCCTTCCCATCGCACTTTGTAGCACGGGGTGGATGAGGATGTGGGAGCTGCTCCCCCATCCCTCCATCCCCATCCCTCTGGCCAGGGCTGGGCCAGCAGCATAAGCGGATTTTGCTCCAGGGGACAGACACACAGGGACAGCAAAGGGATAAGGATGAAGCCACAGACCTCGGGGACCTGATGGGGCTGTTGGCAGAGGCCAGACTTCGCTCCAGAGAGCACCAGGGACAGTCAGAAGCCACTCTGAGGGGCATCAGACCCAATCTCCCAAGCTCTGGATCTGTTTGGGGCAGCCCAGGGTAGGAGGCTGAGCCTCCCTTTTCCTCACTTGGTCTTGTCGTGCAGGTGTGATAGCAAAGGCCACCTCCTCTCTGCAGGAGGATGCTGCAGTTCAGAGCCACCTTAGGACAGAGATGCTCATCCACAGAAAGCAATATCCCTGTGGGGAGTGTGTGGGAAGCATGTCCCCACTGCCAATCCCCACATCAGACCGTGGGCTGTGCTGGTGGCTGTGGCTCCTAAAGGGGAAAGAAGCCCTTTTGGGGGCTGGGAGGTGTTTTCTCTGCCTGGCTCACAGCCAGGGAACTGCTCACTCCATGGCCCCGGTGCGGGTCCTGCCAGAGGTGGGTTTGGAGTCAGCCATCCTGCTGCTCCTTCCTCCGGGCTGGCACTCTGTCATATCTCCTGGAAGCTCATCAGCTCCCAGATTTCTCCCTGGGAACTCAGGGCTGGGCACTTGACATGAAGTGACATCTCCAAAATGCCATCCTGTGGGATGTGGGACGGGAGCTGCAAACAGCAGGGAGGGCTCCAGTGGTGGGGATGAGCCCTGTGTCCCATTTGGGGACAGGCTGCATCCCCCTGTGGGGACCTGGGTTTGGGTGTCCCAGCCCCAAGGAGCCACCAGCATTGTTCTGGGCACAAGGAGAGCTTTGGGGGTTCACCATCATGCTGAGCTGGGAAAACCAGGGAGGCCACGTCTTCCATAACCTTCCAGCACTGGCAGGGGCAGGAAAATCAGGCTGATGCTCCAGGAGTGGCTCATCTACCAAAGCCCAGCCTTCCTCATGGTTTCCAAGGGGACGAGGAGAGCTGGCCTGGCACCCTGGCACAGGGTTGTGATGGTGCTTGTGGCTGCCAGCAGGTCAGGGCAGAGCAAGCAGGTCCTGGGACTGACTGGGAGGGTTTTCTGGCTGCTCCGAGCTGTGTGTCCCCAAGGCTGCAGGAGTGGCCAAACAAGCTCGTGGGGTGGCTGCAGACCCGGGTGGCTGTGGGTGGGCACTGCCCCTCACTGTGGGTGGGCACTGCCCCTCGCTTGGAGCGACCATGGCTGGCAGTGAGCCTGTGGTGATGGAGAGGAGCCAGGAGGATGCTGTGGCCCAGTAAAGTGCTGCTGCCTGGCTGTGAGCAAAGAATCCATCCTCTGGGTGGCACAGGAGAGACGGGATTTGGGCATGGGTGACACCCCAGAAGGGACAAGGGATGGGCAGGAGCTGCCAGCGCAGTGTGGGGTGAAAGGGAACAGCCCCTTGTCTCACGGGGCAGCCCCTTGTTCCAGTGATCCACCAGTCAGGGATTTAAGGAAGGAAACCAGATTGCTGCTTACGACTTTGCTTTGAGCATGTTTTGGGTTTTACGAGTATGTTTAATAAAGGGTATCTTATGTCGACAAAGTGTCCGGAGTCATTTTGTGGTTTGCAGGCTGAGGGCAGTCGGGGTTTGCGGGGCTTGGTGGGTGGAAACCCTTTTTGGCTCGAAGTGTCCACCTACATGTCACCCAGGCACCTCCCCCATACCACCCCAGCTGCTTCAAATGTCCTAAAACACTTCACAAGGTTCCTTTGAACCTGCATTGCCAACCCATCCTAAATTTTGCCTCCTCTGAGCCCAGTATGGAGACAGGACAAATGCAAAAAACTCTGCAGGAAGAGTCTGACTTGGGGTAGAGGCACCTTCCTGGTGTGGGGTGTGGGTGACTGCTGGCACTGCTGGGACAGATGAGGACACCCAGAGGGAACTTCTGGAGGAGAAGAGGAGCACTGAGAAGCTGAGAGCTCATGCAAGAGAAATCCCTCCAGTGCGGGGGAAGAAAACTTGTGCTGGGAGATGAAGTCTTGAAGAAGAGGAGAGCTGTAAGAGGGGTTATAATCTGAGTTTAATAGGGGGGCTGATGATGGTGGGGAGGAAAAACTTGCAGCTAAATCAGAATCAAAATCAGAATCAATCAGGTTGGAAAAGACCTCTGAGGTCATCGAGTCCAACCTGTGACCAAACAAGCTGCAGGGACAGGTTGCAGATGGTCATATCCTGCAAAGGGGTCTCTCCCTGGTCTCTGTTAAAGCCCGTGGGATGGCAGGGAGGGTGGCCAGGGTTTTCTTATAGAAGCCTATGGCTGTAATTTTTTGAATTAAATAAAGGCAGACTCCATCTTTTATTTTTGGGGTCTGCCAGGCCTCCTTCAGCTTTGCCCTCATCGCTGTGAGTGCATTGGGAGCCAGAAGCAGGATGGAAGCACAGGGAGGAGGAAGAGGGCTGGGGTTGCCCCTGTGAAACAGGACACAGGTTTTCATAGAATCACAGAATGGTTTGGGTTAGAAGGACATTAAAACCATCTCCTTTCAACTCCCCCCTGCCG